ATTATTAGGAAAATAATGTGCTACACACGAATCACGAATCCCTGCAATACAATGTATCAGACCTGCCATTTGATTTGTTTAATTCATGTGTAAAGGCCGGATCATCCCTTTGATCACCTGCAAATTATATCTTCTTCTCTTGTGTACGCCCCATGCCATGCCTGTCTTTTACTCTTTATCTTTTGCTTTACAATTTGGCTAATTTCCTTTTGAGTAACTCAAACCTGTGTACCAACCCACTGCTGAAATGCTTGCTTTTTCTTCCTGAGCACTGCTTTCAATTCTTAACTCATCAGTTTTATCATTTGTGACATGAAACATTTAATTTTCTAACATTGTCCACACAAATGTTAATAAGTCTAATAAGTTTCAAGAGGATAAAACTCATTACCTCTTTTGAAGTACACAGCACACAAATACAAAGTTAGATATAGTATTAACGTGATGACTCTCAATTCCTCTAAAGTACAATTCAACCTACTTTATCCCCAAAAAGTATTGAAACAGTATCGGCACCACTGCTTAACAATTAGCATCCTGTAAAGAGAGAAAAAAAAAACAGTTTTTTAGAAAAGTATTACTTAACATACAACTTACAAAATAATGCATAAAGAGAATTCTTATAATATTTATGCCTCCTGCTCAATTGCCCATTATGTACTGGAACAACTTGGTTTGCTATGGTAACTATGGTTAAATTAATGGGGGTTTTTTTAAAGATATTTTCAAATTTACTGTATAAAAGGTTTTTTTGGTTGATCCAAAATTACTTTACTTTGAAAGGTGTCTGGGGTCGAGCATGCCTTCTAAGATTAGGAGGATGAACTCACCTGTCTTCTCACCGGCCTCCAACTCCTCCTGACGTCGGAAGATGATGCCATTTTTGTCACTTCGCCAGCTGAGATTGAAGTCAGTCATCTGCTGATGTTTCAGGAGTGTCTCCAACTGAGGGAAAACAACACCAGAGTTACAAAGAACACAACCCTTTTATTATAAAGCTGAAAATGTAAATAAATGTATTTATCTCAAATTCAGATACACGTATTAAGTATTACTTCATCAATAATATCTTGTACCTTTTTGAGGAGTGCCTCACTGACCGTCGAGTCAGTGAGATCCACATCAGAGCGCACCTTCATCCTTATTACCATCTTCTTTACTTTGAGGCCTGCAGCATCCCAACACAGAATCATACTGTTAGTGATCATTAGTGATCATTGTAATGTGTCTAAATCCAACTGCTTTTTAAGCAAGGGGATTATATTATTTTCACTGGGGATTCGAGGACCACAAAATCTTATTGACCTTTTAGATAGAGTTAGTGCTAATATTGCTGCAAATTCTAAGAACGAAGAATGAGGAAGCCCGCACATGGAGGTGGCGACGTGGATGGATGGCACAAACAAATACAGGACTTTAATCAAAGAGTATTGTAACTAAAAACTACATCAGGTACGTTACATACGTATATTCCTGTACTCATATGCTTGCTGACTTTACATTGGAGGTGTGGACTTGGAAAATGATGTGAGAGGAGCACCTACAGTGTCATGATTTGATGCAGAGGGACACTGACCGAGTGGCAGTATTGGTTTGGGATTGAGGATGTGTTGTATCAAGCGGGTGTTGCTGAACTGTAGGTGTTCTCAGCCAACTTCTCCTAAATAAAAATCACTGTAGTAGGAATTCATTTGCTTGAAATTTCAGTAACTCACCGCCCTGGCAGACAAACGTTGCCTTCTCGTTACACTGAGTTTCACTCCAGCGTCCCTGCTCTGACGCTGCAACCGAAGCACAGTTCCCCCCGTACTGCGTGCTTCTCGTCCAGTACCTGAAGGAGGTATCGCTTCCATCCGACCACATCCAGGCATCATTGAATAGACCAATCCACACTGTGTTTGGCAGCCATATGGCGCCCATCGATGAACTGGCTAAATCGACAATTTCTGAATTATCCGCCTCTGTGCTTACATAGGCCATGTCAGTGTGCTCAATTCTGCACACATCTTGACTGTTCATCCAGCTCAACTTATCTGAGTAATGCACATATGTTTCCTCGCCTTCCTCCTGACCTAAATAGACAAACATGAAGAGGACAGCAAAAGTTGATTTCAGGTCTTTCCACTGCAAAGCAAACGGGGGTCAAGCAAGAAATTAAGAAGAGAGCAGAGAATTTACACAAATCATTACTTTGGGACTATAATTTACATGCTCTGACAATTGGATGGACAGGCATGCAAACAGGACGTCCTCTTACATCATACAGTGGTCTGTAGGAAGGAAAATTGTATGGAAATTTGAGGAAATCTCCACTTTTGCATAACAAAAAGCCGAAAGTCCATTTTGTTTACATTTCTTTTGAAGTCAAGGATTCTAGTGTGTTAGTGAGCAGTGCTTCCCAGCTTTGTCCTGTAAAATAAATCATTTAAACACCTAATTACAGTTCAGTAAAAGTGATGAGCTAATCAAATGCAACACGTTACTAAAGATTATAACAGTAGTTCCCAACCTTTTTGGGTTGTGGTCTCTGAGTTTTGTTAGTTCCACCAGAGGGACATTTTCCTTCTAAACTCCACAATATGAGCAAAAATGACACAGCCCAAAGATTGAAAATATATATTTTTGTAGCAGAATTTACTCACGTTCATAACACACAAAACTTCTCTCCTTTATACACTCTACGTCCTTCCACGAGCCTTCCTTATACAACTCTCCACACCATTCATTGCCTGAGTTACTTGGTTTGCCGCCAAGCCACATGGTGAAGTCCGCTCTGCCCCTGCCATCAGACCACATCCACCTGCGAGTCCCTTCTCTGTAAAGCCCGATCCAGCTGTGTGTCACATGACTGCCCAGTGTGTTGACCAGCTTGTTCTTGTCATTCATGCTGTTCACGGTGGCCAGGTCGGAGTACTTCATTCTGCAGAAGTTCTGAGCCTCATACCAGGTCAGGGAGCTATTGATGAAGTGGTACTGGGGTACTTTGAGCAGAAAGGTAGACATTAAAAAATACTTCCTTTCAAGCAGAGTACAAATGTCATTATTTACAAACATACTACACTGGGCTGTCCTGAATTATTGCAGAACTGAACCAACAGCTTTTCGACACCGTCTCAACAAAAACTAGTTTTTTAAGGCTCAATGTGCAGGATGTAACTGGATCTATTGGCAGAAATGGAATATATACATAGGTTTGAGTTTATTATTGTATAATTACCTAAAAAAAGAATGAGCCTTTTATATCTACAGAGGGAGCGGATCTTCTTCTACGGAGTAGCCCAAAATGGACAAACCAAACACTGGCTGTAGATAAGGCCATTAAATCCTACACACTGGACCTCAAATTTAATAATCCAATTTAGAAAGAAAACCACAATCTAGTGGTACACATCAGCAATAGAAAATGGAGAAGATTGTTCATTCATGATTGAGTTATAAGGTAACTTTTTCCATCTGGACCTCATTTCCACATACTGTCAAAGTGACTAATGGGGACAACACGTTTTGAATTTTTTTCCAGTATTAAGTGCAGCCGGCAGCCGCGGACTACAAAGTAGTCCATATGGGCAATTGCACAACATCAACATCCAGCACAGTAGTGCAACTATCTTAATGTACAGGTTGTCTAATGTTAAAATGGTTAGGAAGTTATTATTTAACTATATTAGTGATTTTCACTCATATGGATGTCAGGAAATACCAGGCTTTTTTTAAATAAAGGAACATTAATGGGGTAATGTTGACTCCATGGTTCGAACGCTGATATACCACTACACAAGCAGAGTGAGTTTTATTTGAATGGTCTCTAAAATAAAGGGGCTAATAACCCATGACAGTGTGTATTGAAAAAAGGCTGTATAAATAAACTCACTCACAGCTTTAAAAGTAATCACTTCTACTATAATGTATGTTATTCAAAAGGGGCATATTTGCCTTTTCAAGAGTGTGGAATCTTCCAAAATCATTGCATTTCTACAAAGTCTTCACATGTCGGTGTGTTTTGGAAAGTAAAATCCTAACATTATTATAAGAATTATAACACTCTTGATAATAAAACAAAAACAGTTTCACAGGGGCCAATATGTACTTACTCGGCTGAGCAGTGGTCCACTGAAACAAAAGGAGAATCCCTATGAAAAAAAAGAAGTATAATGTGTTATTTCTATCTATCAGAAACCTTCAAAGCATCAAAAACTGCTACTGCAGTAAGATATTAATTCTACTTACCAATGAAAGGGATGGCGCTTTGTAGCCACACCATTTATCTGTGAGTCAAAACAATAAAACGTACACTTTATATATCAAATAACCTACAGTGATGCAATAATTTTAGATTAATTACATACGTTGTGTTGATCTGTATTCTACAGGATAGAATAATTTAAATTACTGGTATATATTTTTAAGGTAAACTTACCTCTTTTGTTGTTGCAGAACCAGCTCTGTCAATGAGTTCAGTTTGTGTGTTGGGAACATTTATGGAAACTGTTTCACTTTTTCATGTCATTTCATGCAAAACTCAAAGTAACGAGGAGGGAACACGAGCAGATTTGGTTACCAGTGGTCCTTTGGTTGGGTGGGTCCTTTGACATCAGGTGGTTGAACAAGAACCACCACCAGCAGCGTGGCTTACAATGTGTTCAAAGACTTACTGAGCTTGTTCCCACACTAGGAATCATCCAGTTAAACTAAAATAGTGTGCAGGAATATAATAATAAAAGTAGACTTTTTCAGGCTACTGACATTTGTAAGCATTTCCAAAAAGAGGGTGTTACCAGAATATGGCCTTGAAATGTATGTATTGTTACAACAGAATATTTCTGCAGGTGTATTTTGTTAAAATTTTACTAAAACATTCTCAAGAAAGACAGATGGCTAACTAGTGAGGTTTGCTTTATCCATTTTATTCTCATTTATTTGCAGGGACAGCGCATTTAATAGCATTTCTGAAAATATGCTACAAAATTTGCTAGAAAGGCTCGTATTAATCTGTTGTACAATTTTAATTGTTTAAAGTGCAGATGTCAACAATAAAAGCTGTGAAAATATATGCATATGCAAAGTGTTGTTTTTAGTCATTATGCTAAGCTAAGCTAACTGTCTGCTGGCTGCAACTTCTTAATTACTGTACAGACATGTACTGCAATTTCCCAGCTTGGGAT